ACGCAACTTATATGATTAGCGATATCTATATTACAAATATTATTGAAAATTATTGCATAAAATAGGGTAAGACTACCAATTAGGTACGTAGAAAGGATATTTTTAATTTGAGTGCTTTATCTTTGCTGATGCTGAAACAATACAATTTATTTCTGTCTACTATCGGATGCAACGGTACCTATTGAGCCTTCACACTGATTGCATTTATCTTAAAAACTGAGGAGCATTCCGAAGATTCTTCGTATGCGAAAAAGTGTACCAATTTTTCACGGTTTTCCGTTTATATTAAAATTTAAATAGTTATCTTAGAATGCACGCAAAAAAGTGTAACAGTATTCTAAAAAATGTGACTATTAACTTTAAACGGGTTGCGAATAATTATTATCCATTGCATTGTTATAAAATAAAACATTTTTTAGAATAACATTTTGTTTGCTTTAAAGTTTAGGTTGGGATAAGATTTTTTGCCTTATCTTTAATTATAAGTAAACATCCTTGCAAAAAGTGTCAAACTCTTTGTTCAAAAACGTGTAAAACATCGATACCTACTCACAATCAGATTTATTTGACTTTCGAATTAAGTAGCCTCCTTTACAATGTTATAAAATTATAAATGTATTTTGCATATTATCTGTCATATAAGAAAATAAAATAAAGTGACTAAATCTATTAACATCACGTGTTATTTATTTGAACACTTAAATATTTTAAAATAATTTCACTTATTTTTCTGTTGAATGTGGTAAGAATATATAGCTGAATGAAAAAATAACACAATTACTTCTAGATGCAAAATGAATTCCGTATTATCGATTTTTCGCAATTTCCTAAATTTGAGGATTTGAATACGAATAGTGCATTTCGCCTGTGTATTATTTGACTTTTAAGTTACATTTACTTCACTTTCACTAAACCTGGTATTGTTTTTAATTACGCTTTAATATTTACTTTTTGTATTTTTATAATAATGGGGTATTAGCTGTTACAGGCAGCTCCAAACTACGGTTTTCAAATAATCTGCAGTGAAAGTTTCCAGAAAAATAAACAAGAGCACCGTCATTTCCTGAATCGAAACATAAGCAACTTTTAAAACAGGTCTTTTATATTCGCAATGGCTTTAACGTTTTGTCGCACAGGTTTCACCAAGACTAAATGTTTGCAGAAGAGGTTGACACTTGCTGAAGCAAAATATAGTCTCCTATAATACAAGATACGGCAGCGACATTGCCACAAATTTCCAGTACTGATTCCCTTCAGCAAAATAAACAAAACACATTTTTTCTTAAAATGTTTTCTAAGCGCTTTACGATCTTTCAACATTTGAATGTGTAACACAATTTTTGATCAGTTATTACTACCGAAGATGCAGATTTGGTACCGAGCTGTTCCTTCATAGTAGATTACAGATATACGGTGTGTCTGGTTTTTCGTGTTAACGCTCCCTTAAATGCAAGTAGGCTGGTGGAACTAACTGGGATTGTTTTTTTATGGGTGTGGCCCTGAAAGGTCATCATTTGACAACTATTGGTTTCCTTTTGCTGCGAACCTATGGCCTGCAATGGTGCATTTTTGAGGAAAAACACGAGTTTTCATTCAAAAGATTATTCTACGCCCCAATAAATAGTTGAGCACCAAATTTAAGGAAAAAATCAACTTTGTGGTGTATGATTAGCATGCATGAACAAATAAATAATAAACAAATGTTTGTTGCCTTAATATGTCAGTTAAATTGCAGTGAGGTTTTCTAAACCTTAGTCGGATAAAAAGCTATCCATTTCATCCATAACAATGCACATTTGCATCTTACACTATGCAAGCACAGTAATGGTTGATGATGTTCCGCTCTGTTCGCGGTTGCGCATTAAGTGCTGTCTATGCGAAATATACTCTATTAATATTCATGTCTGTATCTTAAATAATTCTTGATTAGCTGATTAAAAGCTTTGATCAAATAAATTTTAAAAATATCTCTTTGAAAACAATGTCATTTTATATTTATTCCGGATTTGTCATAAGCATCTTTCGTCGATTTTCCAAACTAATATTCATTTAAAAAACTTTTACTTGCGTAGATTTTTTTGTTATCCTTACACACGAAGCATGAAACCTTATTACTTAAGAAAAATAGTCAGAACATGTGCTTCTGCGAAATGTATACCGTTCAATTTCTTCACAAAGGAAAAGTTAAGAAATTACATGTGAGAAAGGCGCTACCTATTGTGAGAAATGTCGTTTACTGTGTGAAGACGAACATCTTCACACAGTAAAAGACGTTCGTTCAATACAAACGATTCTTAGCATGTTTCCAGTACAACAGTATAGTATGAGAATATTGTTACTAGTACTAAAGCGTCGTTGAAAATTTGCATCGTGTAGCTATAACTCAATATAAATAATGTAAGTAAGTTGATAAGAACGACTTATAAAAATAACACTGAAAGTTTAAAGGAGATTAAGTTTAGTGCAATCGTTTGGTGGCCCGCTGAGCATATGGCTTGAGTTCAATTCCCGATCGAGTAGGACAGATGTAATTGGGTACTGTTCGTTCATACTCCCACACTGCTATAGAGGTGAATTAATAAAACAGTAAGCGGTATTAAAAGAGAGCGTTGTTTCTAGTTTTCGTGTAATTAAGTCAAACTATGCATATTTAGTAGTTTATAAACAGTTTTCTTATTATAATGAAACTTATACATATGTATCAACTGGCTTGCTTTACCAGGAAAAATGTTTATAGAAAGAAAAAAAATAGCATGATAATGAACAGTACAAATGAAATTATACAGTGTGTAACAGAAATAATTAATTTTGAATGCAAAATAAAAACAAATAAGTTTTGAGCAAAACATAAATGCAGATTGATTGATTTCAATTGTCTTTTTAATTTTGTGTTCAATTGGATTTGAAGAGCTTCAACCTCTTGATATTTTTTCGAAAATAGTAACACTATAAGTTATCTACTGTTTAAAAATCTTTTTTTTTTTTTGTGATAAAATGCAGGTACCTCAGTAAGTAACAGTATAAGAAAAACAAACTAACTGAATAAGATTTTAATAGCATCTTTTACATCTTCTTATGTCATCTAAAAAGTGCAGGTAATCTCTAGGTTTTGAATATTCCAAAAAAATAATCGAGTGACGTTAAGTCTGGAGACCCTCCCGGTCAATCCATTTCATCGCTTTCTTCGGTCTACGGGGTGAGAAAAATTTTCGAAACTGAGATCTCTAATCACAAAAAAGTTTTCTGGGTAAAACTTCTCCATAATTTCTAAAAGATAGGTAACAGCTCCCACTTACGTACGCTCTATCAAATTATATGTAAAAAATAAAGGTCATGATATCACAGTTGAAAAACAATGGAATGCAATGGAACAAAACCGTTGAAAATACATCTCTGTTATCAGTTACTATGTTTGATTAAATTGTGACCAATAAATTTGCCAGTGGAAGAATACTAGGTAGACCGGTTTATCATTGAATCAATTATACAAAAATTTCATCTATGATAACAAAATAAATCGGTTGTTAGATTACTATATAACGTTATTTGTTTTATAAAGAAATTGATTTCAAATATTGGGAAGTTGGTCGATCGTAGATATACACAATGTTCGTCTCCAATTTAATTGGAAATACTTCAACTTTAATATATGTATTTACCAGTACATTCTAACTATTCTCCAATATTCCGATTCAAAAAACTTAACTGAATAACCGGTTAGAATAAAAAAAGTCCATCTGAAATTGTATATTTGTAGTTTCTAACTTAGAAAGAAATAAAATATGACATCTCACATTTACACAATGACAAAAATATAGTTAATGTCTTTGACAAGGCCATCAGTGTTAAAATATTTTTCTCTTAACACCCACATCATGCCACTTATATGTAAATATATGTAAATCGACTTTAGCTTGGATCCACCTGCATAAAACCAAATTGAATTAAAAGATGATATAAAACCACGACAGTGTATGGTTATGAGTTCAATGAATTCTAAGAATTATCTAATAAAAATATAACGATATTCGCTGTAATGTATAGGCTGGTCCATTTTCGATGGGAATTCAGGGTATTTCAGAAACTACTAAAGATATGATAAATCTGACACGACGTTCTCGAGCTCGATTTTCATGGCAAACTCGACTGTCAAATCAGAAATTTACTATCTTCATTTGTTTCTGAGTTGCAGGGCGTTTCTTGTTATTGTCACATTTTTGATGTCTGTATCTCAGCTGTTAAATAAGTTAGAGTTAAAGTGAAAACTGCCCAAGACTAATTCTTTGGCGTAGAATTGAATGCTAGTATTAGATTTTTAGTAGATCTTAAGATTTCGGAGTTATGACTCAAAGTTAAATACAAATATAAAACACCCCGTATCTTCTGTGTTTGTAAAAATAACTATAGCAAGTGACATATTGCTGAAAAGCAAAAAAAATCACCATTTTTTTTAGGTCATGACCAGCTACGATTTCCATTTAAAAAAATATAACTTTGGATCATAACTCTGGAATCTTAAGACCTACTAAAAATCTAATACCGGCATTCCATTCTACACCAAAGAATTAGTCTTGAGCAGTTTTCTCTTTAACTCTATATTATTGCTGAGACACAGACATATTCAAAAGTGTCACAATAACGAGAAAAGCCCTGTAACTCAGAAACAAATGAAGATAGCAACTTTCTGATTTAATAGTTGAGTTTGCTATGAAAATCGAACTCGAGAGCGTGGTGTCAGATTTATCATATCTTTAGTAGTTTTTGAAATACCCTGAAATCCCACCGAAAATGGACCAGCCTGTACACAATATTAAAGCTATAAATACAATTTGGGACAGATATAAGTCTAAATAAGCAATTGCCGCGACAGGGCAAATATTCTCGCTTCCATCAACCGAAAATTCGCAGTAATATTAAACATGCCTGCGTTTTATTCGGACATAAACAACATTCACGCCGATTAACATTAGAAAGGAGTTATAAAGTAACATAATTTCCAGGTAACTTGGTAGAATGGAAGCAACTACCGTAGCTGCATCGACGCTGCCTTCGAGAGCAAAATTTCTGGCCTGCGCCCCACCTCCGACGGGTTCGCCTCCAACGGTACCCGCGAGATCCGTTGCATCGGGATCTCTTGTGGTGCGCCACCATTCTAACAGTTTCTCGGAAGAGCCCGGCCACCAGCAGAAGAATCACGTGGTGAAGATCCTGATCAACCCCAAGAGCGCCACGGACCGGAGCGACGCGGTCTCCCAGAATGGCGACGCCGTCGCCGTCAGGGACAGACAGACGGACAGTGTTGTTTGTGATGTGGCGCCGTGTGTTCGGATCAGCGTGAACTCTGACTCGGAAATGATCGAGAACCACACCATGTCCGAGACGTCCGGTTCTTTCTTCTGTTTCGGGACTTACAGTTGTGGGGTGAAGTCCAGCGGGCAGATCTCGCCGTTCAGCGACACCCCGGACTCGGGCACCTGCAGCGACCTAGACGGGGCGCCTCCCTCGCTCCCCAAGAAGAAGGGCGACGGCATCTCCATCACCCTCATAGGTGTGTTCAATTTATTTTCTTATTTCAATAGCGTTTATTACAACAAACAAAAAAACAATAAAAGTAATACAAGAACAAACATAGATACTCTTATATGTACAGGGTGTGCTAGAACTAATGGTTGGGCGCCATTACAGGACAACGGAAGGAGCAAATAGGAAACCGCAAGCGGGGATCTTAATTATAAACAATTTTTTCCTTCGTGTGAAAACCCTCTCTATTGTCAACAACTTTTATTAATTTTCTCTGGAAATATACAGGCTGTTTCAGAAAGACCTCCCGTAAATACGACAAAAAACAAGAATTTTTTTGTCTTATGAACTATATGTCTATCTCCTCTTGTTTTCGAGTTATAGATTTTTACGAAAATTTCCAAACGGTGCGGAATATGTTTATGAAATTTGGTATTCCGGAGTTTTTAAGGATGCCAAATACGCTGGTCTAATTATTTTTTGGATAGTTCACAGAGGGCGCTAGTTATGCTACATTCCTATTATATTTTAAGTTCTAATTTTTTTAAAGTTAGATTTTTTACCATTCAGGCTTCAATTTTTAATGTACAATTTTATTTTCTGAATATAATGTACTCTTGTTAGAACTTCCTAATGTGGACGGTTTTCGAGAAAAACGGCTTTTAATTAAACTCTTAGAATATTACGGTGTATAAAATAAGTGACTTTTCTCAAAGTAGGCTTATGTCAAAACTTATTGATGGATGTCGCATACATTCTTAGTAATATCTCTAATTAACTTTCTATCAAAATTTTAGTGATCGTAATTAGTCATTACTAACTACAGTCACTAACAATTACTAAAATTTTGATATAAGGTTAATTAGAGTTTAAGAATGTATGCGTTGAGACATCTATCAATAAATTTTGACATAAGCCTACTTCGAGAAAAGTCACTTATTTTATACACCGTAATATTGCAAGAGTTTAATTAAAAGTATTTTTCTGGAAAACCGTCCTCATTTGGAAGTTCTAACAAGAGTACGTTATGTATATTTAGAAAATTAAATTGTACATTAGAAATTGAAGCCCGAATGTTAAAAAACCGAACCTTAAAAAAATTAGAACTTAAAATGTAATAGGAGTGTAGTATAACTAGCGCCCTCTATGAAATTTCAAAAAATAATTAGACCAGCGTATTTGGCATCCTTAAAAACCCGGGAATACCAAATTTCATAAAAATATTTCGAACCATTTGGAAATTTTCGTAAAAATTCTATTTAAAAAATTTTATTTTGTCGCTATGTATCTCGAGAACAAAGGGAGAGAGACATATAGTTCAAAAGACAAAAAATTCTTATTTTTTGTCGTACTATCACCCCCTGTGTCTACGGGAGGTCTTTCTGAAACAGCCTGTATAAGATGATACGTATAAAGAATTTAAATTAAGATTCTTTGGGAAGTTTGGGTCTCTATAAAGCAATAGAGCTTTACAGAGACAAATGATTTATGTCAATAATGCAAACGTTGAAAATATCTTGTTGTCAGTAGCAGACTTGATCGAACCAGACATAAATCTTTCTCTAGGTATATAGCCAATCTGCTAATTACGGATTTTATCGAGATTTCTCGAAAATCAGAATCATATCTACATATTCATTGAGTAATTTTTTTTTTGTTAAATGTAGGAAATTTCCACAAAAATAATGAAAACGTCATCAATGCTGACCATATCAGCACATATTTGACGTGTTAGTGAGTAGTTTCTTTGTACGTATCGGAGAAGAGATATCGCTACATTTTTTGCATAAAAGAGAACATTCACACGATGCAAAAAATATTTATGAAATTGGGAAAACATTATATCAATGACGTCACAGCCCTTGGAGCAACAGATTTATCTAGATGAAATTTTATGTGAAATACTTATTGTCATCGTGCTATTGCGATTCCCTCTTGCGGTTTTCTATTTCCTCTTTACGTTTTCCTGTAATTTGGCTTTCTCTACAGGGTGTATCTAAATAACACCGAATGTTATACATATGCTAAAATGTACATGAATTTGGTTTATGTTTCTGAAATGTAATATTCATTTGTTTTTGTATTCATATTTTTATTGAAATCGCTGGAAAATTTCCTAAAACTTTTTCTATACAGGGTGTATCTATATAACACCGAAAAAGGACGATTCTCTGATGAAAATTAATAGGGGTCTTTGGTATAAAATTTTGTGAAAAAACTTTCCCCTGAAAAGTTACGTACCTCCAAAAATTTAAAAAAAAAATTGTTTTTCTTTTTTATCTTCCATGTACATCAAGCTAAAGAAACCAAACTTGGTGAACATTATCTGTCAAAAAAAACTACATTTTTTTAAATTTTTTCAACCCTGAAGTATTTTTTGTAAGTGGTTGAAATAATCAACCCCTGATATTTTTTTTATATTTTATTTCGATGAAAATTTTTCCCTTTAAAAAATATGTCTAAAAAGACCCATTCATTTACTAACTTTATGATCTCTTTAAGTTTTTTCGAAAAGTTAAGGATTTATGAGAAAAAAAAATAAATGTATTACAATGAATTTGTAAAAAGATAAACTGTTTAACGCGAGTATTTTTTGTCGGAAATGTCATAGGGTTGACGCATTTATTGTAATCAGAGAAAAAAGGGTAATAAAAAAGTAATAAATATACCATTTAAAAATCAATATTTGGTTTACATCTTCGAAATGCAACACTCAATAGTTTTTTTTACATATTTCCTTCAGATCGCAAGAGACTTTCGTCTTTATTATTTTTTCTTAGAGAGGGACAAATGGGTAAAGGGGTAGAATATTATGCGAATATACCTGTGCACAGAAGTGTTACTGAAAAAATATACACGGTGTCTCAAAAAACAATGGTTATACTGCAACCACAAATCTTTCAAAATTCAAGTCATTCCAAAAATGCTTCGCTTAAAAATTGCTTTTGAAATATTTTTAGTAGAATTGAACATTCTTTTCAAAAAATACATATCTACCGTAAGTACTTTAAGAAAGTCTTATGGTAATTTTATTAAAATATGAAACTACATAAAAAAGTGAAAAAAATATAATTTACAATTTGAATAATTTAGTAGAGCCGGATGAATAAAATCTATTAAAATTCATTAAACTGAAACTTTCTAAACGATTATACACATTGCTAAATTTTCAAAAAAAATTATCAGAATTTTTAAAGGTCGTTTCGCGAATGACTCTGTATACTGATTTTTTAAAGAACAAGAACGGCCGTTCACATTTGCCTGACATTTTGCAACAAGACTTTACAAGTATACTGCGTCAAAGCAGCGTATAATGTCAAATTTAAGTAAACGCTTCTGTGACCCCGTTACAACGCTGACACTGACTAACTTAACTTTTATTTGCATAAAGAATGGATCGAAACTGGATTTAATCGCAGCTTAACTGTACAAAGGAACTATTTACATTGCACATGCTGTCTCTAAACGATGGATATCGTTCCGGTATTTTTGATTTATCATTCAGAACAAAAGTATTTAGATTAACTCATATGGACGGGGTCGTCAACATACTGTATGTAGGAAATACGTTTTTCTTGATATGTTTATGAAATCAGTGACCATTAAAATAAACGTCTTTCGTAATTCCACAAATTTAACACGTTAATAATTATAATGCACCGAGTTACTCAGTGGGTTAAGGAACTAATTTCACAACACCTTTGCATTTATCATACTCACATCTTTACGCTGCAGACTGTACAGTTACGCAACTAGATTCTGATGATCAGATTATAATGTTTTTGGAAGGAAGTAACTTTCTTTCATACTTTTGATTCGCCAAATGTTACTTTTAATCATATTCTCATAGTCCAATTTTCAATATTGTACAATTTTCCCACTTAAACCTGTTCTAGAAGTTGAAATTTCCACTCTTATTTATATAGTTTTTGTTATTTATCATAAGATTATGCCAACATACATGTTTTAATAATAAGTGATAGACTAGTACTTCCAAATGCAAATTTGTTGGAAATAACTTGACTACAAATAATGCTTTTCGGTGTTGCCAGATTTCTTCAGTAGCTACTAAAACAATATTGTCTTAAATGGCAACACTGATTTTTTTTGACATAATTTGACAAATCTTCGAATTCTAAATAAAAAATGTCAGATTCCTTTATTGGAGTAGACGTTTTAGAACAATCAGCAAAAACAACGAAAATAATCTGTAGTCCGCAGGCCTTAAAAAAAGCTAACATTGCAAAAGTAGGCCTTGGAAATTAAACAAAAATTGTGTTGTTTGAAAGGAGCCATCATTAATGTGCTGTCATTGTGGTATTTGACAGCTGTTGTATTTGAATGTACATAAAAATATCGTTTTATTTAAGTTACTAAGATGAATCTGTTATTTAATTCAAAAGAGAAAGTTCAATTAATTTTTCTTCATGTTGGTGGCTTAAATCTACGCAATGCGTACGCTGAATTCGATGCAAGATATAACGATAAACCTTTTCCAATCTGGAGTTTTTAAGAAATAACTTAGTAAAACAAAAACAATTAGTAGTGTGTGCTCAAGGATCCCCAAAAGGCTCAAAATCATCTTGGCAACTGAATTAAAACGTTATTTTTATACACATTCAAATAAACAGTTATCAAATAACCCAACGATAATGATGGCTCCCTTCAAACAACACAATTTTTGTTTAATTTCCAAGGCCTACTTTTTGCTGAAGAAATGTGACATAACACTTTTTATTTAAAATTTGAAGATTTGTCAAATTATGTTAAAAAAATTAAGTGTTGCCATTTAAAAAAAGATTGTTTTAGTAGCTATTGAAATCTTGCAACATGGGAAAGCATTATTTGCAAATTTTTCTTAATCAAGTTATGTCCTACAACTTTGCAATTGAAAATAATAGTCTATCAGTTCAAGCAAACAAAATGGCCTGTCAGGTTTTAAAAAAAATACACTGTATACGATTAAAAATGTACTCAAAAAGAAGTCTGAAAAATACTATGCAAAATAGAGATTCATTTTAATATTAT